AGTAGTTTGTAGCTTTAATGCAATTGGCTCCCCAGTAGTTTGTAGTTTTGACGCACAAAATCCTGAAAAGAACAATAATTAATGCATTATCCTTTATTCACACACTAATTCTAATTTGATTTATTTTGACTAGTTTAACTTTATTCAACTAACACAATTTACCTATTAAATTATGCCTTAATTAGGGTTAATCAGCCAGTTTGCATTCTTAAGATGTATAACCCACATCGATTTGTTAGGCAACATGAATTTCTTGAAAGATTATCGGGTACTCCCTCACACCCATGTATAATTTTGTTTGATGCCACTTTTTATATCGGGCATGGTTTAGTTTAACCAGGATAAATAGTGGGGCAGGATTCCATGTCCTTAATAATTGTTCTTAGATTAAGAGTAAATGTGACAGTAGTTATAGCAACTAGTGGAAAGATGATGTACTTCCACACCTAGATGGCATCAATTGTAAACCTTGTTAGCTAGTGAATCTGAGAATTTCAAATTCAAAGCTCAAGCTGATGGGTTAGAAAAGGGGAAAGCCCTTCTTACAGTGCCTAAAGCTCCTCCACGTCTTCGAAAATGGGAAAATTCAAAGGATTGTTTGAATCCCCAAGAACAACCAATTGCAAAGATGTTAAAGGTCACAACACCTGTTTCAAGATCAGCTAATGTTTGATCTGCTCATCCTTTAAACATCACAGGTCTATTGAAGTGAGTTTGTCAAACAAATCTAATCATGCACTTTTTTCATCCCGCATGTCCAAGGGTGTTTTGAAGAAACAAGATATAGACTCGAATCATGGAAGGATTTCGAGCACAATTGTATCAGTTAAAAATCCTGGTTCTACTAAGCAGACAATTCAAGAGAGGTGTCAAACAAGAGTGATAGAAGCTGAGCATAATTTGGCTTGTGCCCGGTCAAAAGATGGTGCAAATCATACCACTACAAAGTCTCCCACAGGCAGGGTTGACCAATCTTGTAATGCTCTGAATGACTTATCAATTTTTTTAGAATTAAGGGGTATAAATAGGGGGAAAAAATCTGATTTCTCCCCCTATTCATCAGTCGTTCACCGGATAGAGAAGAAGAGAGGGAAAGGAGAGAGCTTCTTCACTTCTCTCTACAGTGCTCAAATCAACACGGCCCAAGAACAAAAGTCGATCTCCTCGACAAGGGCTATGCGGCTATACCAAAAAGCGCAGGTTTTACCAAAGATCACGGAACATGATTTTTGGAAGCTAAGGATTCTAGCTCATTTTTGGGTTCTTGGAGTTTCTTGATGGTTTTTTACGCTTCAAGAGGTAGAGTTCCTTCCTACTTGAGTTTATTTTACAATCTAGGGTATTTATATGAAATGGGTAGTTTGATAGAAACTTATATCATTTATCTATGTGGGTGAAATTGATGAAATGGGCATGAAAATGGGGTATAAAATGGTTTAAAATAAATTCCTAACATGGAATTGGTATGTGGTAATTACTTGTGTAATTTTTTGGAAATTGGTATTATGTGGGCATGCTATGTGCTTTTATTATGTCTTGTGAATAGAGTGTGTTATTGTCATATAATATGTAATAACATGCTTGTGATGTATGGTTGAATATAAAAATATTGATTTATGCTTATAGATACATCGTCATTATGATGGAATTGGTAATTATATATTTTGCATATAAATTGTCATGGAATATGTTTAAATGTGGTTAATTTTGCTCATGTGACATTCTTTACATATGGGCATGATATTGATTAAGCAATGGGGCATTACATTACATTTGCATAGAAGAACCGCATCCATAGCCATGAGTGTGGGTGTGTGTGTGCATGGTTGATATCAAACACCAAATAGGTGGATGATGATGGGCTCGGGAAAGTTGGATCGAAAATCCGACTGATTCGCTGACGGTTGAATGAATAAAGAATTGGGTCAGGGTTAGCAAGAAGGGCTAGACTATCCCTCAGGTGAGAGACCCGGTGATCGGATACGCACTCCGTTGGTATAAGAGCCCATAAAGTGTGTAAATGTACGCGGAACTGTTGGTAGAGGTCCATGAATTCCGTGTCGGTTGGGTGCCATTGATGTGAATCCATAAATATCCACCCCAAGAAAGACCCGGAGACTTTTAAATAGTCATTGAGTGTGCAGCGCTAATGGCGGGGCTTGGAAAATTGGTTTTTATTCTCATGACATACATAGGGGAAAAGGAGCCAGGGAGGGCTCGGGTTAAATTGAATGAGTGAGTCTCATCTCATTTCATGGTATGACATTGCTAAGATTCCAACATCGAATAACATATTCTTGGTTGGGATGTTGTTGGTTGTAAAGTGTGGCACGAACATTTATATGCACTTAGGTTGGGGAATAGCCTCCGTAGGAAATATTCTACTGGGCGTGACTCACCTTATACGGGAAAATATTTTAGGTTTGGGATATACATCGGTGGAAGGCCCTCACACAGGACCCCAAGGGTGAAGAAAGCTGAAATGTGGCTTTATTTTGAGTTTTGTAAAACAATTATGAAATTTCTACTTTGGCATGTAAATACATTAAATTAAATGTAATAGAACTTGTATTGCATGAAAAACTTAATTATACATGAGTTGGATGGAAATAATATGCTCAAGAATGAGTTGAAAATGAAAAGCAGGTGAAATAGGCAAAAGTGGGAAAAGAGTACCGGTACAACGATGTCCAATGGGTTAACTGTACCGGTACAAATTTTCTAGTGGGTCAACCGTACCGGTACAGTCTTGTTCAGAAGGCAGAGCGTACCAGTACGCCGTACTGGTACTGATTTTTCATAAGGTTCAGCGTACCGATACTCTTTCCAAAATTTTGAAATTTCTTCCCCAAGCTTTTGGGCTATGAGTTCTTTGGTTCCAAGGATATAAATGGATTGTAATGGAGTATGGAATGTGGTACGTTGAACCATGATTTGATTAAATGATAAAATGTACACGGGTTACACGTGTGGGTTATAATCCCGGTCAAGGGGGATGTTATTGACGTGACGTCGGGTTGTGCGATGATCACGAGTATTTTCACGGGCTGACGGGTGGTCAATAATTGAAAAAGGACCCCGATTTTAGGGGCGTCACATATTATATAGATGTTATATATATTATATTGAAACTAAAGGCTATAATTAAAGTTTAGTGGGGGTTGTAGTTAGTGGGTTCTCCGGTAACTACAATGTGTGGTGGTTATTTAGAGGGGGAATGAGGGGATTTTCGGCTAGGTGGGAGGGGGGAGTGTTAGTGGGCTCTCCACTAATGCGTGTTGGTTGGAAGACTAGATTTTGGGGGTAAGAAAAGGAAAGGCTAAGGGGTTTTTTGAAGAAGCAATTTTCGGTTGAAGACTCCCATATTAGAAATGGTTTGGCGGAAAAAAAAAAAAGAAGAAGAAAAGAAGAAAGGTAGAAGGATACTCCAGGTGGGAAATTGGTGGGTTTTGATGCTTATCCTCACTTAAGTAAATAGCATGTTTTTGTATTTTCATAATTCTACGAGAATGATTTAGATTCAATTATGTTCTTGTTTTTCCATAAATTCCATATTATTGAATTAGAATAAAGTATGCTATTGTATTTTCATAATTTAATGAGAAAAACTAGATTCAAGCTTGTAAATGATTTTAATATAGTATAGTGTTGAGAACATTGGTTTGTGTCACTGAAAAATTTTCGATGGAATTTCGGTAAACGAAAGTGCCGGTGGGTAATCTTTAAAATAGTGAATTTTATGTTGTAGAGAAATTCGATGTGAGTAGATTATTTTAATCAGTTCGAGTAAGTTATTTTATTATATTCGAGTGGGTTAATTTGTTCAGTTCAAGTGGATTATTTTAGTCAAAATTTCAAAGTAATTATCAAGGATCCCTAGAGCCTATTGTGACTTGTTTTCGGTTGGAAAAATTACTCTATAATGGAGGATTTCACTTTTTTATATAATCAATGTAAAAACAATTTAAATTCTAAGAGCATAAAAAAGAGAAACTTTAAAACTTAGGGAAAGAGTCAGATTGAGTGCTTGCTCCTTAGAGTTGTATTCAACTAACAGGAATTACCAAGCGTAGAAAGGGGTATTGTATGTAACTCAATTGATTACCGAGGTCGTCTCCTAAAGAAAGACGGTTGGTTCAAAATTTTATAAAACAAAAAGAAATAAAATTTCAGAATTTTGAGAGTATTTGAGAGTTGAAAAACTGAATTAATTAAAGAAATACAACTTAACTAAAAGAACCGGTTGATTGCGAGATGATCTCACTATGAATAGGTATTTTGACTCAAATTCTATAACTCACTTGAGCTTATGGTTAGACTTCACCCAATCAGTAGATATTTGTTAGACACCCAATTTAATTAACAAATGTGTACCCGAATCAATTGAATCGATTAGCAGAATTAATTCAATTGTAGTGATTATATGAACTATCCGTGTCAAGTCTTAGTTGTCGACGAGTAAGCAAAAAGATGTACATTTGAATATCTTCCCAATTAACCTATTCAATTGACCCAAATAACCCGACAGTAGACTGACCCTAGTTATGAGTCAAAATCCCCAATTCCAGATGGGACTACTTCATTCAATCAAATCGGTGAACGACTACTCACGCATGGTAGAAAATAAATTGAAAATTATAAAAGGAAGTATCATTGTAAATTAAAGCAAAAAGGCATGATTTGAAATTGCGAGTAATGTAAATACCTTGTATTGAAATAGCAATGCAAAGAAATCGTTCGCAAAAATTAAACAAACGTAATTGCTGTGCAGAAATTAATGATTTGAATTTAAAAAGAGCTTGTAAAGTAAACAATGGAGCAAAAACTAAAAAGAAGAAGAAAACTAAAAACCCTAGGAGAGAGAAGAAGAAGAATGGTGAACTAAATGATGGAATGAGATTCTTTTCTCTCTTGCTATACTTGGGTATTTATAGGGAGTCTTGTGATGATTTCTCTCTTTTTAATCCACCAATAATGGCCTTTAAAATAACCCAGTAGATTTCCTTTCCAAATCTGTCCTCACAACAGATTTACAAGAACCTACCAGTAGAAAACAAAAAATGACTAACTGGTAGGACTGTTCATTGTTTTCCTTCTACTAGTTGTTTTGCTCTTCTACTGGTAGGACACCCTTCTGTCTTCAACCTACTAGTAGGACAAAACTCACCTATCTGCAGGACAACTCTCTAGATTACACCTACTACTAGGAGTGATACATACTGGTAGAAACTCTTTCTAGCTTTAGTTGTACCGGTAGAAGTGGACTTTTCCCGCTTGCAATGGCTTTGGCTGTAGTGCTAAACCTCTTAAACCATGTCCCAAGTCTTCCAAGGAATTAAAACACGTGTAATTCCATGCTCTTGCACCAATTCAACTGCAAACACCCAAAATCACTATAAAATACAAAACTTAACCAACACAAAGGAATTAAGTGACAAACATAACTAAGATGAATGGTTATGAGGCTTATAATAAGCAATATTATGCTCTCATCACACCCCTAACTTAGATTTTGCTAGTCCCTTAGCAAAACAAAATAAACAAGCATTAAACTACCCAACATCGCACTATAACTTCCAAAGCATACTCAACCACATAATCTGTAACACCCCAACCCGGGGTATGATATCTGTAATATATCCCTGCCATTTTTTTTAATAGACCTTGCTTTATATAAATATATGCACATAAAACAAAGAATTCATCAAACCCCTTAGTGGAATGGCTTGCAATTAACCTTACTTATTTACATACCGTAATATTGATCTCACCAATATGACCTATAAAAATACAATTTAAATTTAAGGGCCGTATAAACATGACCCGTATGATGACATCCCAATCGACCCCTCTAAACTCAATAGTGGACTTCTCACATCTTTATGATTTTTCCTAAAAATTCATTAAGACCATTAGTAAGAGCAAAGATGCGATCAATATTTATGAGCACAAAAAGAGACAAA